TCGGCTTTCTCAGAGCAACAAAGAATCTCACATTAAATTGGTTTGCAGGGTGACACCAGCAAACCTGTCATCGATCCACTCGAACAGCTGCATTTATGGCAGGTCGATGCTAAGCTAATTACACATACTCATTTCCCAGGTGGACCTGGCACTAAACGAGACCCACTCTTCAGAACTGATCAGACCATGCCCTCACCCTGCAGAATGCGATCCCTTGGCATCGGACTTGGCATCCGGGTGATCGCCGTCGGCCCCTCCATCAGACCCATTGACACCCGACAGACTCAGCGGGAAAGCCCGTCCAGCCCCCACCACATCGGCAGACTCCTCGCCATCGCCTTCTTCTCTCCTCGACATCGGAAAGGTCTCGGGGATCTCCATCGACGGCCGCGTGTCGACTTCATCAACTTCTCGCGCCGGGAAAGTCATCTCTGACGACCGTAAGGAAACGAAAAGTCACCAGCAGGCCTAAAGGCAAGGCTAGGCCTAAGCTCCCACCCGCCTACCTTCGTGACTCCGCAGATGAACCTCCTCGTCCAAGGTCCGATGCGAATACGTCAGATCCGTCGTCACGGTGAGCCCCCCGAGTCTCGTCTGCCCCCCCGCGAACGACGAACTCCTCGCCTTCTCGTCGTCCGTCCTCATCGACGCCACCCCTCCCTCGTTCCCCGATCGAGGCCGCGACATCCCGCCTCTCGCCTTCGCGACCACGGACACGCGAACGCAGACAAAGATGAGTAATTATTGCACGCTGCCTACTGCGACGCCATGGCTATGATGACTCGCGCCTCGCGCATGCGCAGTCGGTCTATCAAAACAACGACTCGCAAATTGATCACCGCTTCAAACGTACGATCCGTGCGCTCACATTTCACTTCCTTCGCGGGTGATATCACTTTACCATCTCACGCGCACCATAGAAGAAACTTCCAAGATGCCGAAGGCTTACGAGTTCGATCTCGAATCGTCGCGTGTCGTGAGCCGATCGACAGTTATGCTAGGATTCCTGGAATCCGTTCCGCGATTTCTGCCGCTTTCCACTACCAAGCGATCGCGTTCACACGGCCGATATCGACTATCACTATCACAGACCTGAAATGGTGAGCGTAGAGCTCGCACCGGGACGGATCGCGTCGCACGTTTGGTCCTTTTTGGCACGTTTTCGAGGCGCACTCGCGTCTCGTTTCCGTTGCGAAGGGATCGGGGGGGAAAACGACTGGGAAATTCTCGCAGGGAATCTCGAGTGACTGAGTTCCTACCAAGAAGCGAGAAAATCGGTGCGAATTCCCTCGCTAAGTGGTGAAAGATAAGATAAGATACGGACCCATTCGCACCAGCGTGGTTACACAGAGAAAAAGAAGTGCGTCGGCGGAAATCCTTCTGCGATGGCCCGACCGTCACCTGTTTGCACAAGCGAACGTCTGCGTTTGCACCCTCGCCAGTCAAACATTGACACACGCCGGTCGCAAATGACTCATTGCCCTTCATTCACACAAATACAAAGCGTATATATCATATATAATACGATGGACATTCACTGACAGAAAAAAATAAATAATCTGGCTTTGATAAATCTTCTATCTATATATCTAATATATATAGACGATCGTGACTGACTGACTGACTGACGCTAATAGCGCGACCATAGCGAGTTTGTTTGCCCTTCGGGCAAACAAACTCGCTAGTAAATAATAACTCTCATGGGTACGGCAATGTCCTATATAAAAAGTCTCAAGGAGATGTGTTTTCGCTGGTCCGCGCGACCGCATCGAGTGCAGATGGGAGGAGAGAATGAAGTGTAGGATGTCAGAGGCGGAATTTCACGCGTACAACTAGCAACCCTGTCTACGCAGCCGCGAGCAGCCGCTCTCTCTCATTGTCTACTATAGAGTCGTCTTCCGCAAGGTCTGGGAAGGAAGTGGATGTTTTAGTGGAAGACGGGCACCCCTCACTCAGAGAAATCGGTAAATCGAGATGAAATACTTCTCTAAATGCGTCTATAGCTGAGTCGGAAGGGTGTTTTGAGTGGCTGCGCATCGTCTAGACACATGTTAACCTCCGTATTCTACTTCACCGTTTCATCGCGCCGAGGAAGACCCCCCTCCCCCCCATGAACCCTCGGGGCAATGCATTTACAGACGAGGGATTCACACGCAACCGCCTGAGTGCATGGCCTCATCGCCACTTCACCTTCCCTCCGACCCTGCGAGTAGCTCGTGCGTCTCGAAGGGATTCCCATGTAAC